TGAGTAAGTGGTGTGCGTGAATAGGTGAATGGGTGGGTGTTTGAGTGAGTGAGTCAGAGAATGGGGTGCCATGTTGGTGAGATGGTAACTTCCTCACCTAGTATACAGGAGGTTGTCGATTCTATCCCGACCCTGTCGCAAGTATATTTGATTGTGCTTGTTCTCCTCGTGGTCGTGTGGATTTTTGTTCCAGGTCCACGGAGTTTTCCCTCTGCATTGAGAATAAACTTGCATTCAGAGGATTTGGCTGCAATGCATGTGTAAGTGATAAGCCACTTAGTTAACCTGTCATTTGTAACAAGGTCGCTTTTGAAAAAAATCTATATAGCCCTGTGGGCCTTACCTGGTAAAATAAAAACAGTTTAGTTTTTGTTTCGTGGGTGAGTGAGTGAATGGGTGGGTTGGTGGTTGGGTGATTGAATGGGGGTTGGGTGGGTGAGTTGGTGGGTGTTTGAGTCAGTGGCTGGGTCATCGTGTGAGTGGATGGGTATTTGAGTAAGTGGTGCGAGTCAGTAGGTGAATGGGTGGGTGTTTGGGTGAGTGGCTGGTATGTGGGTGAATAAGTTAGTGTAGGAGGTTGAGTGGGGAAGTTAGTGTGCGAGTGGGTGGGTGAGTGAGTCAGAGAATGGGGCACCACGGTGGTGAGATGTTAACTACCTTGCCTAGTATACAGGAGGTCATGGAATTGATCCCGACCCTGCCGCCTGTATATTTCGAGTTTGCATCTTCTCCCTGTGGTCACGTGGATTTTTCTCCGGGTCCTCGGGGTTTTACCTCTGCATTGAGAATAAACTTGCATTCAGAGGATTTGGCTGCAATAAATGTACGTGATAAGCCACTTTGTTACCTGTAATTTGTAACAAGGTCGCTTTTGAAAAAGATCTATATATAGCTCTGTGGGCCTTAGCTGGTACAATGAGAACTAGTTCCGTTTTCGTTTATTGGGTGGGTGAGTGGTTGGTGGGTGATTGATTGAGTGCGTGGTTGGGTTGGTGGGTGAGTGTGTGAGTTAGAGAGTGGGTGGGTGGATGGGTGGATGTGTGAGTGGGGGAGTGAATAGGTGAGTGGGTGGGTGAGTGGAGTCTAGAGTGAGTGGGTTAGTGAGTGAGTGGGTTGGTGGGTGGGTCGTTGAGTTAATGAGTGGGTGTGTAGGTGGGTGCACAGGTATGTTCTTGAGTGACTGTGTGTGTGGCTGTGTGTGTGCATGAGCAAGTGATTTAGCGGTTGAGTGGGTGGCAGGGTGAGTGGATGAGTGAGTGTGTGTGGCTTTCGTAGTTTAGTGGTTGGGTGAGTCAGATAATGAGGCGCCACGGTGGCGAGATGCAAACCCCCTCGCGAAAGCCGACGTGTTAAACTGGTATATTGGAATTCGTATTTTTGACCCCAACCCTGATGTCTGTATATTTGGAGTTTGCATTTTCTCTCGTGGTCACGTCGATTTTCCTCTGATTCCTTCGCGTTTGTTTAACACGTAGACTTTCGCGACCAATATCATCCATAATAGAGGTTTATTTTTTGGGTTAGATCGCGTAAATATATAAATGTGTCGTTAAAACCCACCACCACCCGACACAGCCAACTAGTAAGGGTTGTCACGTACGCAGAACATGCCAATTTGTAACAAGTACAACTCACGGTGTGTTGGAGAGTCAAGCCACAACATTTACAATCTGAGTAGAACGTTTCGCCAGTAATTACAACTAGCTTCATCAGGCAACAGCCAGATTTGTGGAGACATTCACCTGTTTCGTTCCTTATGTAGAGGCGTAGATGTGCTGCCTGTTTTTATCATTTGCCTGTTATCATTCGCCTGTTATCAAGTTAAAAGTAGAAATAGTTATTATTGTTGTAATCACGTTATAAGTATAAATAATTGTTATTTCGTTAAAAGTAGAAATAATTATTGTTATCAAGTTCTAAGTGGAAATAATAATTACTGTTCTCATTCGCCTGTCGTTTCATTTGCCTGTTGTTATTTTTCGTCTATTGTTATCAAGTTATAAGTAGAAAGTTATTATTATTGTTATCATTCGCCTGGTGTTGGTAGTGCACGTCTCTAATCCAGCACTGTGGAAGGTAGCGAGGGTTGGTGAATCACCGCACAATGATGTTGGCAAATCACCTTCCCGTGGGCGTCGAGGTGCCATAACCTGACTCTCCAGGAGAAGGCAGTAGAGCAATGTGGACTAATCGCAGTGGAAGGCAGCAAGGGTGAGTGGATCACACAGTGAATGTTGTGAAACCCCCTTTCCGTGGGCATCGAGGTGCCTTCTCCTGGCTGGCTGGCCAGGAGAAGGCAGTACAGAAAGTGGGATAATCGCCATCTTTGCCTGCACGGTTTAAAGTGCTGCCCCTCGTATGCGTGGGTTTTCTCCAGGTGCTCCGGTTCCCCCACTTGTGTAAGAACTCATCATTCATACGTCGAAAATGTAAAAAAACAATTCAGGACCCGACTGTGACTCAGTGTGGATTTCCTGGACTAAGTCTATTTTATTATTATAAAGAATTAAAGGGGCTGTTTGATGACACGACTAGAGAGCTGGCTTGCACTGCAGGGGAACTTAATTTTCAACTTGGATTCCGCAACCCTCAATGGCCATTTTAAGTTAAATTTGTGCATGTAAGACTCGCACAAACAACCATACCAGAAACCCATAGGCTCCAACAGAGACCCATACATTCCTACAGACACTCAGACTTACACAGCGACCCCATACGGCATACAGAGACCGATAGACATGCACAGAGACCCAGAGCCTCACACAGAGATCCATACTCTCAAAGGCCCAAAAAACTCACACAGAAATCCATAGATTCGCACAGAGGTCAATAGAATTTGAATTTGAATATTTATTTATACTGGAGGAATCTGATAAGCTATAACGATCTGTTTTCACAGACGTCCAATCGGGTGGGTCAGAAAATAACAACAAAAATACAATACAAAAACATCACAGGAAAGGTAAACAAATTGTTTCGAAATATACAAATTAAACTGAACTCTTTTTATCTTACCATAGACTCATACAAACATGTTGGACTCGCACAGAGACCTTAACCACTAACATCGAACAATTAAAACCCTCTAAACTTCTAAACCCCTAACTATCTAAACCCATAACCATCTAAAACCGCTAACCCTCTCAAACCCCTTTACCTCTTACAACCCTAATCTTTAAACCCCTCGCCCTCTAAAGCTTAACCTCTAAACCCCAAAACCCTAACCATCTCAACCCCTATCCCTCTAAATTCCTATACCCCTAACCCTCAACCCCTTTACCCTTCAAACCCTCACTCTCTAAACCCCTTATACTTTTAACCCTAACCGTCTAAGCCCTTAAAAACCAAACCCTCTAAACCCTCTGAATCCCTAACCCTCTAAACCTTGATAACCCTAACCTTCTAAAACCCTAAATCCCTAACATTCTAAATACCAACCAATCTAAACCACTACCCTCTAAAGAACTAACCCTCTAGACCCCTAACCCTCTGAACTCATAACCTCCTAAATCCTCAACCTCTAAAACCCTAACCCTCAAAACCCTAACGTTCTAAAACCCTAAATCTGTAACCTAATCCAACACATTTAAACCTCTACCCTCTAAAGAACGAACCCTCTAGACGCCTAACCCTTAAAACACCTATGCCCCTAAAATGCTAACCCTCTAAACACATAATCCACTACACCCGGAACCCTCTAAACCCATAAAGGTTTTTTTTTGTTAGATTATGTAAATATAAACGTGTCGTTAAACAACCACCACGCCGAAACAGCCAATTAGTAAAATTTGTCACATCAACAAAAAGTGCCATTTAGTGTTGGAGACTAACCCAAAAAAAACTTTATTATGGACAATATTAGTTGTGAAAGTCTAGGTGTCAAACCCTCAACTCTCAAACCACAAAACACCTAACACTGTAAATCACTAACCCTTGAAACCCAGATACCCTCTAAACCCCTAAACACATACCCCTTATAACCTCAACTACTAACCATCTAAACCATTCAACATCCAACAATCGAAACACAGAAACCTCTAAACACGTAACTCTCTAAACTTTAAAGCGATTTGAAGCGTGTTTTATTTTGGATGGGGGGGGGGGGCAGAGCTTTGTGACGTCATATTTGAGGGGGGGGGGTCTGACTTTTCGTGACGCCGTGTGACGAGGGGGGGGGGGGTCAAAAATCGTCCAAAATCGCGTGACGTCATTTATGGACGGCCCCTCGTTCGCTCGAGTGACCTGGGAAGTGAGCTCACTCCCTGACACCACACTGCGTGTCCCCGTTTTAAATTAAAGTGGTGAATGAAGAAGTCAACAAGTAGACCGCTGTTCTCTTCTAACACTTCAGACTTTTAATAA